CTTTTCATCCTTAGTTCACCTTTTATACTTTTCTTTACATTCAGGTGGAGCTTGAGTGACTAGAGTCATACTTAATATTGTTATTGATTGGTGAAAAAGTTTCTCGCTTTCATTTAAAGGTATAGTCAACCGAAAATCTAGAGTGCATGCTCAGTGAGGGGTGGTCGTACCTCGGAGGTGGGTAACTTTTGGGATGGAGGTGTGGTTTTCACATTATAATGAGCAAAGTTCAAGCAAAGTTCATCTGAAAGGAGTAGTTTGCCACTTTGCTGGCTCAGCACCGGACTTGTTATCGTATATCTCCCATTAGACAGCCACTGTGCGGCTTATCAGCAGCCCAGCACAGGGAGTGCAACAGAGTTTGGCCGCGGTGTCTTCACCCCGCTCCATCCTCCATTACTCCCCTTTGCAGCTGCGAGGAGGGCAGATTGTGTTGCCCAGGGAACCGTGGAGGAGCAGAGTCCGAGCGTACCAACCATCCTGGAAGTGTCAACTGTGTATCACCCCAAGCAAGCTTTTGTAATGCCAAAACTTTGGTTGGGCCCTAGTTTTCCTTTCAGTTCCTGCTTTCAAACAATTCTTCTGTGAAGGCATAGTACCTTGTCAGTAGATAATAGATGCCTTGTTAGTAGATCGTTAATCGCAAGAATGCCTTAGCAGTGCACGGTTGATGGGCTGACCCGCAAGGACTAATGTCTTATCAGCAAAGAGCAAAGCAGGAAAAGGAGGAGGACTACAACCGCATGTGGAATATCTTGTTAGCAGATAAGGAACAAAGCAAGGAGAAGAAGATAACCACAACTGCAGGGCTGGCAGGATGCTGATTGATTGTAATTTTAGCAACACTTGTGTTAAGAGAGTATAAAAGGAGTTGGTTTGAGAATAAAGTTGTCTCACTCTGCATCCCAGACTGAGTCCGTTCTTTCGCAAGGTGCAACATTCTTCCACAAACAATTCTTCCACACTGGCTCAACTCCAAATGAGTATTCATCAGGTGTGCAGGCCTTCCTAACAGATACCTTGCCTCAGACTAATAGATAACTACAACATGACTTTAGACAGCTTTTCTCATAGTGGTATGTTTGATGCTTACATATTGAACACTCCAGAGTTTGGAACAGGAACTAGCTGATAGAACTATCTAGACTAAACTCGGTGAAACCTGAAAATGTGCTAACCTGCTATGGTCTTTCTCTTAGAAGGAATCTCAGAAACCACCTTCTGGTCCATTTGGTGATCCTTTTGGCAACCCATTTGCATAGATCAGGTAAGTCTTCCACTAATATATAACCTACTTTGTCCTTTGAACTTGGTTTGGAAAACTTCTGGCCAAGAGCTGTATAGAAGATGGCACTGGCTTAACTAGAAGGCCCCTTTGAAGTACTGCAAGCACTTGTCCGGCTCCTAAAAGAACTCTCTGCTAGAATATGTCTACTAAAACTTGTAAAGGCTTCTTTCTAGGTAAACCTAATCAATGTCCCTTTCTTAGAAATAAGGATCTTGATATTCTGTGAATTTAGATTTCAAGGCCAGAAGAGGTTTAGACTTACTTTCACAGAGAAAAGTTAATGAGTAAACATTCTGCAAAACTCAAAAGTACTGACCTAAATATCTTCAGGTATTTCCTTAAGCATGGTGTTAGCGCACAGTGCACTATATAGCTATCTCCTAAATATACAGGCTTTAAACTCCAAGTGAGAGTAAAACCATAATTGTAACTGAGGGTATTTGTCACTAGAGACTAATGAAAGTCTGAAAGGTGTGTGTTTTGGTTGGTTTGTGGGTTTGGTGGGGAGGGAGGGAAGGAGGTATGGTTTCTGCGTATGTGGTTGTCTTTTAACACTGACCAGAGAACATGAACTGCTAAACTAGCAACCCTATTCCACGTGTCTGTTTTTTTTTTTTTTTTTCCCCTGAGATACTCTGTCTAGTTTCTAACAGAAACTAAGTGTTGGTCTTTATCACCTTAGTTTTTTCTCTTAAAAGCTCTAAGCTCGTTTAAGCTGTAAAACTGCTACTTTTAACCATCCTAACTTAAGTCCTTTTCAGCATACTAGGCATAACCAGAAAAGGACAAATGGAATAATTGGATCTCTTCTCAACATGACTTTTCTACTTGTTTCATTTTGCTGTCTGCCACTCTTGCTGCCATTCCACAATGTCTGTAATCTAAAACACATCCAGGTGGATTGAAAAAATGAACCCTCAAAGAACATACTGTGAAGAAGATTCAGGGTAAAGCAAGTAGGAAGTTGGACTCATGCTGCACATCCCAGTTCAAGTTGGTGGATGGTAATTTTACTTTAGTCTTGGCAGTCTTCCAGGGAAGAGCTTAGCAATGCTAAGTCATGTTGTCTTAAATATGGTCACCTCAATTGCTGTTTCTGTAGCACTTTCAGTTCCTATATTATAGGACAGTATGTACCTGGGGAAGAAATGCTACGTTCACATGAGGGGATGGAATTAGTAGCTTAAAGTCCACATCTTCAACAGCTAGGTCAGTGCATGTTACTACAGCAGCAGCTAATTGTAAAGTAAGGTGGACACTACTCACTTCTAGTTGGTGACTGGACATATGACTTGGTCTCTGAGCCACAAGGAGGTAAACCGTGTGGTAGGAAAAATCCAATACTTACCTATTCACCAAATGGTAAAACTAGCAGCCTGCCATAAGTGTGTAATAAAGTGACTAAGCTGTGGGGCTGTGGAACTGAGCAAACTTGCCCATAACAGAGCTCTGAGGGTACTGGAGGTCTACACCATAGTTGGGTAAGCTGTCATGGACACTAAACATTGTCTTGGTACTAATATGGCTTATTTTTTTTTTTTAAGGGAGGGAAATCTACTCACCTTTTTTTCTTAAGGTGGCTTGACAGACAAGTGGAACAAGCAGATAGGCTTCTTGCTTATATTTCAGTGAATGTCCCTGACATTACCTAGTGTGACAACTCAAACTAAGCAGTGTGGTGTGTTTCCAGTATGTTAGAAAACAAAGACAATCATAGCTTCACTCCATGCCTAGATTGCTAGGTAAATCTAGCTAGGTAAATCATGCTAGGTAAATCACCTCTGTGCTTTCAATGTGAGGTAGTTCTCCATCCCTTTGAAAGCAGTGCCTTTGTTAGCAAACCTCTTTACTAACAGACCTTTAAATCAGTTGGTTTATAACCAACTGTAACAGCTACTTTCTTGGCCAGTGGTGATGGCTGATGTTTTGAGTCTTTCTGTTCATACTAAGTATAAACTTGAAATAGTATTGTTAAATACCTAAGCTGAACTGGAGAGCTATAAAAATCAACTTGAAGACAGCCTTAGTATCCAATTAAGCCAGTCATGCAATTTGTCTTGTACATAAACCTCTTTTACACTTTCTGTAATGCAAAAAAGCTATGGATTATTTGTCCCAAACTGGAAATGCAGAAACTTATGGATGTTACACAGTTATAAACTGTCATATCTCAAACAATGTTACTTAATGACATTAAAAAGAAGCAACTCTTCATAGCAAATGAATGTAAGTGTGGCTGTTGATTCTGTCCTGCAAAACTCAACCCTGTGGCCTAGCTGGCATTTGTTGTTCAGAGCCTGCTAAGGATTGTTTCTGTCTCGTTCTTTCTTACTATGGCTGTCTTAGCATGGTCTTAAGCTTTGCCATAACTTTTTGGGTAAGTCTGAGTAGCCTCCTAGGCTGCCTCAACTCTACATAAAGCAAGCTGTTACTAGTTCATCCCATTAGCCCATGGACAGCTTGAGTTGGTCAATACTTCTGAGGCTAAAGATGCTTTCTTATCCTCTTCTGTAAGGCTGAAATCCAGCACACATTTTCATAAACTTACTTAGACCACTTCATTCTTCTCATTCAGTGTAACTATTACAACTGCTTGTAAGAGGTAATTGATGCAATGAAAACTAAATTAAAGGGGGGGGGGAGATATCTAACTTGCTCAGAACAAATTTTTTAGTTTCTTTCCATAAAGATGGAAGACAAGGGGAGCTGCAGATTTACCAGCATGCTGGGCTCAAAAGTTTCTGCTGTAGAGTGGAGAGCCTGTCATTAACCTGTGGAGTGCAGAAATGATTAGCATCAGTGAGTGAATATTCCATGTTAGGCAAAAAATAAATTACAGAGAGCAAAGCAGGCATGTCAGACCCAAATTAATCCTTGACTATTTTTTCAATAAAATAGAGTTTATAAACTCTTTCATGCTGGTTTAAAATTCAAAGTGCCCCATATTGCTAAAAAAAAGTGAAGCCAGCAAGCAGCTTGAAGAGGCTCCTGAAATGTTGGCCTATGGTTTGAGAACAACCACAGGCAGGGTTTCAGTGTACTGCCCAGCACTGTATTGCAATGTCTTGTCTGACAGCTCTTCCCAGAAAGCTTTCCACAGGGCAAGAAGAGAGCTGGATGCTTCAGCCCCAATAGATTGTAAGCTGAGTGGCTGGAGCGCGTGGGGGCCCTGCAACCCATGCATGTACCAGAGGGTAAGAAAGACAGCTGTCAAAGCGGCAAGCACGGCTGGCTGGCCTTCTGGGGTGGCGAAAATAGCAGCTTGCAGCCCTTAAGGTAGAATCATAGAATGCTTAAGGTTGGAAGGGACCTCTAGAGGTCATCTAGTCCAACCCCCCTGCACATGCAGGGTCACCTAGAGCATGTATCATCTAGTACATGTATGATTTGGTGAAATTCATAAACGTTTGAGTGATTACTACCTGAAGCCTTAGTAATAAGGAAAGGCTACATCCCGTGTACAAAACTGGTCAAGTATTCAAATGGTTTTGTTGATAGAAATAATCTTTTTTTTTTTCCCCAGCCATGGGGATGGTTCTATTAAGAAACTTAGTTTTTAATAATTTTTCCTCTTTAAATAAAAAAAATATTTTTGTCAAAATCAGATTTTTGCTATCTCAAGGAAGTTTTTCATACGAACGTTCAAAAACACCCAAGGTAGTTTCTTGTTGTTTTTATCATCCTTTTGCTACATGAAGTTGCAAGAATTCCCAGTCCCCAAATCTCTACTAATTCCTGGTACCTCAAAAGTAGCTAACACTACTGGTGGCAGGTTAAGTTACAGTGATTTCCAGAGGCAGATTTACAAATTATGTATATTCATCCAAATGTATGCAATCTATATGAAATTAATGGGCTAGAATTATCTTCTTCTAAGCACAGATTTGAAAGCATATAAAATATGGTGCAGCTTCCTCCTTGGATTTCTTGTAAACAGTGAAAAATAAGCATCTCTGTATGCTTGCTAAAACAGGTATTAATTAAATGTTGCTGTACATGTATTTATTTCTCAACCAAAAATCTCACCAAAGATCCTTTGTTCTGGGAAGTTAAAGTTCATCTGGAAATCCCTTAGTTCTGGCTTTTCTCCTCTCTCCAAGAAATGTTAATTCTGTTACTTATCTTTCAAGTTTCAGTCCAGAAGTATTGAGAAATTCGGACAGTTTGGTGGAAAATCATGTCTGGAGACCGAGAGATTCGCAAAGCTGTAAAACCAGCCAAGTCTGTCCTGAAGGACCAGAACCAGACTGTGGTACTGACTTTCAATGCAGTTCTGGTAGGTTTTGTTTTCATACCATAATGAGTTGTGCAGTAACCCAACAAACTGAGTTACTGTGAAGAAGCTCAGTCAATATCCACTGAAATCAATAAGCATTAACAGATGGAGAGGTTTATATTCAGTGCTTTATTTTTTGGGGGCGGGGGGGGGGAAAAGTTGACTTACTATGAGTTTCTTTCTTTTCATCCCACCAGAAACAGTACCCTCATGTTTACCAAAATCAGCGGGAAAAACTAGAGCTGAAAGAATTTTGATGAAATGAGTTAGGGAGGTTTAAGTGACCACAGCAGTTCTGTACATGTCTGCTGGAGATCAGAATGCCTGTAGATACAAATAAAATACAAATTTGTAGAACCATACATGCATATGAATTAGTGTATTCTTCAAGACTCGCAAATCAAAATGAATAAGGAAATGTTAATGGTAAAATCCTTCTGAAAAGGAAAGATGTTAGGTATATTTTGTGTCCCAAGCCATTGCCAATATTAGCAGTATTTGAGATACAATGAAGTCCAAGTAGAGAGAAAAAATATAAAGTATATTATTGAATAGTAGTTCAAAGCTGTTCTGTGACACTCTGCAGGCAAGCTAACTGATAGGAGCAATTGTCTTTTTATTATGCTAGGGCTAGATTTACCCCAAATCTTCAAATCATGTAGAAAAATCATTTTTTGTGAAACCCTACCTGACCTCAGTGTAATTAATGTCACTGCTGCTTTAGAATACAAACTATAGTTCATGCCCTCCCAATAGCAACAAATTAAGCATCTCAGAAATAATTATTTGTTGATAACTGACTTCTTATTTTCCTGTACTCTCATAATACAATTTTTAAAATCCAGTAATCAAAGATGAATATAGAAACACTCAAAAGAAATAATAACTTCCTGCAAATGACAGCAGCTCTCCTGTCACTTAGCTTCCTGGGATAGCTAAGAAAGCTAATAAGCGAATTTCATGGTATTTGTTTTCTGCAGTGTGCTGGGTGTAGGATTCCATTTCTTCATGACAATAAGGAAAATAAGAAGCAGATCTAAGCAAGGCATAGTTGAGGTGGGGAGAGAAGAGGGAAGGTGCATCTTAGGAAAAAAACAAACATCTTGGAAAACAAAATGGATTAATTCAATGTGTGTTGGTTTGTGTTTTTTTTTTTTTCTCTCTGTAGTGAAGTTCTCAGAAACACTATGTGACTTTAGAAGAGCACCTACCTATGGTTTTCATTTATACAGATTGGGATGATTAAATACCTATCTAGACTATGGACACTAAATAAAACATTATGTTAATAATATATGTATAGAAATCACATCTACATGCATAAGCAAACAATGCTTATATATATATAATCTTTATATTTCCACTGTCTTTACAAGTGCTATAAAGATTTAGCTCTTCCCACTGATTTCACTAACATGCATTCTTTTTCCCTCTTCAATATGCGTCTTGCTTATTTTACAGGACAGGCTACATTGCTGCCTGTAACGTTTTTTTCAGCACCAAATCCTTTACTTCCCTAGATGTTGCTGTTTACAGGAGCTTTCTCATTAATCTAAACAGAAAAGTCACTTTTCTACTCTCGGACTCTGATGGATCTCTCTTACTTTAAATAAAGCAAAAGTGTATCTACACCTTGAATAATAAGGTGGCTATCCAAACTGCACCAGACTAAAATAAAAATATATCACAGTACCACTTTGTGTTTAAATGAGAGGGTACATCCTCTATTTCATTTTGATACTATTGCAAGAGGCAAAATGTTGCATTTGTAACATGGAAGTGAGCCAGATCTATAGGCATTTTTAGAAGTAGCTACTTTATTATTTCTATTATAATTTATTACTTTAGTTTTTCATGAGAAAATGCTGTATAGACATGCAGTTGTGATGCTGATATTTTTGGTGAACTGCTAGCTGTTTTCTATACTCCATTAGAAATATGAACATGTAGCAGATGTAAATACTGTGGCCCCTGGAAAGGCCTCAATCTATAAAATAGATGTGGAAAGGCAAAAACTAAAAAATTAAAGAAGGTGGGGGGGGAGAGGAATTCCACATGGAGAAATTGTTTTAGAAATATCTCTTCTATGTGGGCATAGAGGCAGATTGTTTCCATAGCTCTATCTGCCCTCTTCTCTGCATTTATTGCAATCCAAACTTCTGTGCCCTGCCTAGGAGACTGTTGCTCCAGCAGGTCACTCCCTGTAAGGAGAGAGCAAAGCCGGGAGGGGCTGTACCCTCCTTCTACAGGGTTGATGATGGGACTAATCTATGTTTGCTATTAAAATTCCTATCAATCAGTAACAAACTAATATGAGTCATAAAAAAAAAAGAAATAAAAGTAGCTGTTTTAAACCTAGGAATTACTCTCAAAAATATATTGTTTAAAAAGAAATGGTGGAAAATGGTTTCTACCTGCTTTTATGAAGTGGGGCCTCTCTTGTGTTTCTGCCTTAGGATCAATATTTTAGGGATGCAGCCCCTGGCCAGCCCATTGGACAATGACTTTTTCAATGGCCTGTGTGTGTGTGCGCACATGACGGGAACATGCGCACCTACTACTGCAAGCCCTGGAATGTCAGTGTTCTCATCTATGACGTCCTTCCTGTGAGCTAGCTGTGTTCAGCTGAAGGTCACTCCTGGCCTCCTCTTGGGAAACCCCACACGTTTTGAGTCAGCTGGTAAAAGCTCTTTGGTTTTAATAAAGTCTAGAGGGCAACAGGTTGGGTTGCTAATTTGCATTCGCAATTAAACTCTGTTGCTCCAAATAAGTCTCCATTGCATTTGATGCTGTATTTGCACATAGTAAGTGAAAGTTGCTTTCTATAATGTTTATATTTATGTAATATGATTATATATCTATTTATCTTGTTTGTTGTTGTATTCTAAGAATGATCTGGAGACTCTTATTCCTTAAATGTAAGGGAACTGTTGACATACATAAATTATGTTGACAGTGTTACATGCTGAAACATTGTCCTTATACTTTTCTGTTTATTTTCGAACCCCTTGAGCTGGTCCAGATGAGGTTTGGGGGAGGAGGACTGTATTTGCATTTGTTTTCATTTCTTAGTGCTCTAAGAAACAATTCATGCTAACACCCAAAACTGAATATTTATGGCTTTTCCTCATAGCTTGCAAAAGCAGAAATCATTAAAATAGAATTGAGGGTGGGGAGGGGGAAGAGGGCTTGCTGTTAGTTATATCTGATGAATACTCCAACTTGGGCTATGGTTTTTGGCATTAAAAGGTGCTTCTAGGGAAAAGAGTAGATATTTAATTAAAAAAAAATAAAAAAATCTGTCATAAAGGTGGTTTCTGATGAAAGTGGCAAGTGAGATTTTTCTAAAATGTTATAACTTATTTCATCTTTATAAATCTTTGGGAGATTCTTTCTTAGTTTTATCAAATTAAATTCAAGTGCTTCCACAGTGTGCAGCTTTTTGGCTATTTTTTTTTTCTATTGAATTGTGGTTTTGGATATGCAACGTGATGCAGTGAACAAATCCAATTTTCATAGGCTGGCTGTTCAGGTGTTTTGGAAAACAAAACAATTTTGCTGCTTGACTGCCCAAACGCTGTAGAAACTCAAAGCACAGGTGATGATAATTTTGAAATCATGGTCCTTTACACTGACCATTTGGCTTCCTCCAAACACCCACCACTCCAAGCCACATTACAAGCAACAGGGCACAGTCTGCGACTGACTTGGGAATCCTCACGTTGCAACACACAGTACAGTGTGTGCACACAGGAGACACACAAGTCATCTAAGGAAAGTCCAGCAGGACAAGGTTTTCATTAGAGTCCTGCTTGGATTACATCTCCTTTTGGACAGCATCATCTGCCCACCTAGTGAGGGATTTTTTCCATAACAGTTTCTGGCTGCAATGAGGCTTAACAGATGCAGCCAGTCTTGGGAGCCTGGATCTCAGGAGAGGCTGAATACACAGGGAAACCACATAAACCCCCCCTATGGGGTTCTGGGAGAAATCTGAATCAATGATTCATCTGAATCGCATTCTCTAGCTGAGTCAAATTATTTTGAGTTTCAAACATTTGCTTTTTCAATGAAAATTTAATATTTCCAAGGAGACAAATCAACAGGTTGGTAAAGGTTGGGATTTTTTTTTTTTGGTGAAAAAAAAAAATTCTAGTTCAATATGCTATGTAGCTTCATCGATACTTTCTGTGGAACAAGTTTAGTATTCAGAGAAAAACTCAGCTCTTTGTGTTATTCTGTTTGTTCAAAGACAGTGAAACCAGTATACAGTGACGCAGGTTTCCATCATTTACGTCCATCTGCTGTGTTCCTATCAGCATCTATTTTATATATTTTTTGTATTGATAATTGATAATATAGATAAAATATACAACTTAAGTGCTACATAGACTTTCTTTCACTGTTGTTACTGTCTTTTTTAACTATTCGTACAATCTTTTCATCATCTTTTCTAAGACAAAAGCAGACAAAACCTTCACAGCTGAGTACTATCATGATCATGCAGAAATGATCTGAGGTTTACATAGAAAAAGAAAGAAAATTTAACGCGGATCTGTCTGTGAAATACACACCTACTGATGCAAGCGGCAAAGAAACCGCACAAGGAAATTTCAAGTATCACTACAGCAAGAATTCAAGTTTAAGTTCAGTCCTGAAAACCGTCACAGAAAGGGTAAGTTTAATCATGCAAACAGGTTTAAGGCAGTGATTTTACAAACAGTAAAATGTACATAATATCAGGAAAAAAAAGCAAAATTATTCTTTCTAAATATTGTAGTTGCTTACTAATTTTATGGCTTTTATTCACAAAAATTAAATACTGGCAGTACTAGGATTAGGATTTCAGAGGTGGCTAAAAGCCTAATCAAATCTAGCTTATTGTTCCTATTGTTTCCATCAACTAGCAACCACCCTCATCTTCACTGGGGCCTCGACATTAGGACATTAGGAAGGACCAGAGATCTCTGGTCTCATCTTGATTACACAGCAGCTCTGATCTAGTGGACAAATTAGACCAAGTCCTGGGATAAAAAAAAATGCCAGTGAGTAGGCCTAAAGGTAGGTGAGCTTGGAGAAGCAAAATAGATGTAATTAAAAGGCCCTATCCCATTTTATTTACTAGTACAGAAGTAGCCTTAGCAGAATATATCTGCCTCAAGTGATTCAACCTTTCCAGCTTGTCAGCCTTTTTTTTTCAAGCCACCCTTCAGAGACCAGCAGATGAAATGGATTTAATGGAAAACTAAGATAAGTTTTATAACTGGTTAGTTAAAATAATACTGAATACATACATATGAATACTGATATGGGCTGATTCTTGGGGAGGAAGCCCAAGGAAGCTCTTTGTGTTTGTATACAGCCTTAAGTGTTATCATTCCACAAGATGTCCTATCTTAAATGCAGCAGATTGACTTTAGTTGAGGCTATGATATCAAATCATCAGCAGTGTAATTTATGGCTATATAAAGCATGAAACTCAAGTCAGAATATATGTATGGGTCACATGTCCCAGAGAGATTTTCTCCTAACTAATTTTCATCTTATGATGCTGTTTCATCTTTTTTGATTGTTTTTTTTTTTTTAATTGGAGCAATGCTCTTCATTCAGGCAGCCTGAGAATAACAGAGAAGTGATCCCAAAAAGAGAGAACTTGGTTCTGTTCTACTTATAAACAAAGGCAAAAACTCCAGCTGACCTCAGTGTGCAGGTCAGAGCAGCTTCTGTTATCTGTATGGCAAGCCATACAGTATTATTTTTCTGTGTTATAAAATTAAGTCAGGAAGGCACTTTCTATAGATAGTGTATTTAGCAACAAGAACCTGTCATCAAATAGATCACAAAGGTTTACTGAAATTAGCAAGCAGAGAGCTTTGCATTACTGTAAAATACAGAAATTAGCTAAGCTTCTTCCTACTTCCTTAGTTAAAATATAGACCTCTACAGGAGAGGACACTTTAGAGAACTTGCTATTTTGTTTAAAAGTTTGACTCTGTTCCAAAATACTAGATTGAATATAGTGTTTTAAAGCACTACAGTTTCTTTAAATAAAAACAGAACTGCTGTACTTTATAGGAGAGGGCACTCACCTCCTGCTTTCTTTTCCCTGGTATGTTCAGAACCAAACCTTCCTGCATGTAAAAGGAAAGATTCAGCTTGGAAGATTCCAGATGCGAAGTCGTGATGTCCATCTCACAGACAGCTTCCTTGATGATCTAAACTTTCTGCCTGCTGAATATGATAAGGGGGAATATTTCAAATTCCTAGAAGATTATGGAACGTACTACATGGTCTCTGGAGCTGTGGGAGGAAAATATGAGCTTGTGTATGTGCTAGATGATTATGCGATGTCTCATTCAGGTAGGTATTCTCCTGGCCTCACTCTGCTACACGGATTATCACTGTTGCATAGAGAAATGGTGAGGACAAATTCATGTCTATGTGGAGCTTTCCTGAGGACAGTGCAGCTCAGCATGTGCCATCAGTACAGAATTACACCAGTTCAAGAGATGAGAATCTGTTTTCTAACTTTTAGCATTTTTATTGGAAGTCTGCATTTTAAGCATGTCACTTAAAAATAATAATTAAAAAAAAGCATCTTAAATAAAACTATTCAAAATATTCACAGTACTTAGTGGTGGGGATCTGATTCACAAGAGTTCTGCAATGCGTAAGAAATCTGGCTAAACCTTAAATTCATTTTGCCAGTTAGTATCTTCTTGGGCTGCAATCACTCTGAGTATGGCAGTGGCACAAAATAATGGATACATTGAAGAACTTTCCAGAAATTGCATGATATAGTTGATCATGTTGGAATTGTTTTTATAGACCTTAACATTCAGACTGGAATTTTTCTTACCCTGGTTAAGATAGGAAAGCAGTAACTTAATCCTCCCTTGTGCAGTTCAGGCACATGTGGTTTTGTGATGCGTTTAAGTGATCATTCTGAAGCTGATTTTGGTCAGAAAAAAATACCTGATGCATGAAGCATTAAGAATCATATCACTATGCAATGTTCAAAATATTCCAAAGGACATGGAATAAAGATGTCATTTATGGATCATAGTATTAATCTTTTCAACACCTGAAGATGGTGCTGCTCTTTTTTTTAAGATCCAAACTTAAGTAAGGCCTTTCTGAACAAAGAGTAAAGCTTCAGATCAAATGCTTGAGTTCAATAGACAGAAAAGATGTGCAAGAGGTAGTAGAGAATAAAGGAGGATTGGAATTTAAAAGAAAAGAGTGCACCTAGGAGATTAGTGGTGTTGATTAAATGTATGGGTAAAAGAAAATCAACTTGTTTGAGGTTGGGAGACAGAAGCTGAGAGAACTCAATAATTTAGCACATAAAAGAGAAGAAAATGATGAGCAGGAAAGAAAGACAAAATATCTACTTTAAAGTAGAAAGAAAAACATAAATGAGATTTTGGAGGGTTCTTAGCATTTTCCTAATCACTGCATATCTCACCTGCCTCTGTGCAACCACATCAATCATCCTCAAATTCATTACATGGAAGAAAAGAAACATAAGAGAAATGGGAGGAAGAAAGCCTTGAAATTTATCCTAAAGGAATAATATAATTATATTCTTTATGGCCTTATGTCCCTGTTATAATCACTGAGACAAATGTAAGTATATCCTTACATTTTGCTTAAGGAAAGATGATACAATTTTATTCCCTGTATATAACTGAAAGGTGATTGCATAAGGACAAGTCCAGCAGAGGTGAAGCTACTCTAACTCCATGCCCCCCTGTCCAACCAATAGCAAGGCTGAACATGTATGGCTGGCTGGTGCACATACAAACACACATGTACCACACACACACACTCACAGCCAGCCACACAGATCCCCACAGACACAAATACAGCACTCATGGAAACACAAATAGCACCTATGGCCTCATCCCATTCCCCTCTGTGGTTGATCAGGATGAAGGCCTATTAGTGGGAAATATTTAAATATAGACAATACAAATTTCTCTAGCAGCTGTCTTAGACGTTCAGTCTATCCAGTAACTGGCCCCTGGATCCTCTGGTCTCTGATTGCCACACACACAGAACAAGAGGTCTCAACTGGCCCCCAAACCTTAGGGCCTCCTTAGTAGCTGACTTCTTGAGTTGCCTCACTTAGAAACACATGTACCCAGCCCAGATTTATGGCCACTGATACTTGGCTCCCAAGCTGTTTATCATTAATATCAATTAGTCCATATCCGCTAGACAGTAAGGAGGTCCGAGAGCCTCCTCTGTTATCAGCCTACAGAGCTGGTGGTTCACCCAAACAGCCCTGGGAGGGAAACCTAACTCCTCTGATTGGGTTACTTGGGTTCCCCTGCTTGTTATTCCTATGTCCTCTTTTGTGTGCCAGGAGATGAGCCTTTTACCACAGAACTGCAAGATGAAAGGAGTGAAGGGATTGATCCACAGAAGAGAGGAGATGAATGCAGTTCCACAGTTGACTTTAAAAATTTACTGTGCAGTAAATTCATTTCCTATGGCCAAGTTTTTGAGGTTCAGGTGGCAAAAGTGTTCAATACTCCAGAATCATTGCAAGGGTGAGAAAATTTTGAAACTTCTGAGAAGTGCTGCTGACATGGAGCTTTCAAAAGTGAAGCCTGTGCAGATAGGATGTAGGTTTGAATATGCAATGATCTGTTGAATCACCACAGCTGAGAAAGCAAGAACTGAACCATAGTCCATCTTATCCACCCTCAAAAAAACCCTATTTAATGATATCACTGTCACTGCTCAGAAATCAGAGATGCTGTGCTAATCTTAGCATGGTGTCTTTATATCAGTTGTTACTGATAGATGCTGGAGCTGCTGGAGTGCCTGGTCTGCCTGCGTGAGAGAAGGTACTTGAACTCGTGCGTGCAATAACCCTGCACCAGAAGCTGGCGGCAGGCCATGCCAAGGAGAAAGCACCAAAAAATGGTCCTGTGGTGAAGCAAAATAGTTACGTAGCTCAAAAACAGGTAAGCAGCACCTCTCACGTACTAATGTATTATTGCTGTTGAGAATGAATGGTCAGCCAACATTTGGGGCATTTCACTAACAATGTTGAAGATGCTCAAAGGATTTAGACATTTTTCAGTAAGAAGCTTTCTTCAATTTTGAATTTTAAAATAACCCTCCAAAACAAAGGAAAAAAGTATTCTGAGGACTGACACAAGAAGCTTGCACACCCCATGGATTTGAGAATAAAAATCTTCAGGTCCAGGAGAAATGGTTTGAGTTTTAGGCTTGATGGGTTACTATAAGTTCCTTTGCCCCTGCAAGGCTACAACAGGAAAAGAGGTGGCAAGATAGGGAAAGGATCCTGTGCATGTCCTCATTGAAACATTGTGATGGTAAGCCATGCAAAATGACCTCCACCGAGGCCAAGATGCATATGAGATGTTGTCTTCTGTGCCAGCTCTATCTCATCTTCAATAGAGTCTGGCTATGCCCACTCCTCTACTTGTGAAGCACCCTGAAGAAAGCTGGGCACATGCTGACATCCAGGGAATCAAATAGGCCTAGGAGAATTACACACTGCTTTCAACAGCACCCTATCTCCAGGCTGTCAAAGCTTCTCTTCTCTCCATAATTTATTTCAGGAGTTAGAAGAAATGCAAATGAGGAAATATAGTACAGAGCTTTAAAATCATGAGTGACATGAGAAAGACAAATATAAGAACTAGGGGACCTTAAATTAAACTAGCAGTGGCATATGCAAAAGAAACTGAAGAATGGTCCTCCACACAATATACATAAACTTAAATATGCATTTTAAAAAGCTCGGGACAAATTAACGCAAGGCTCTCAAAATATGCAGATAGTGACACTAGCTCTGCAAGATTCTGAAGTGTCAGTTTTGGGGGAATGGGGAAGTATTCTGGAGAAGTATTTCTGTGTTTCCCTGTTCATGCATATTCTTCACCAGGCTGCTGCCTGCTACTAGAAACAAGATATCAAATTTGCCTTTGATGCAGTGCAGCTCTCTCTATTTTAAAATTCTTATGAGCAACTTAATTTTATTTCTAGAGTACATCACAGATATTTATAGTTAGCCACAATGGTAAATAGCATGATAATTATTCATGACATACATATTCAGATATGTTTCTTCTTATGTGGCATAGTGAAGACTTTAAAAAAAAGTTAACCTAACTTTGGGTCCTAAAAATTCAGACATGTTTAAGCATTCATTCTTCCAGCTGAAGCCAGTGGAAATTGCATACTCAAGGCTTCTGAAAGTCACAATACATGTTTTAACTAAATCTTCGTAAGAGTTATTACAACCATATTTAAGAGGCAGTGCAATCATTAATTAAATATGCATTAATGCACATTACTGCATATTAATTTATGAGTACTAATTCACCAAAAATGTTGAGCAATATATGCAAGTGTCTGATTTTGTTGCAGTAACTATATGCTTTCATTTCTTCACTATTCTTTCTTCTTTTTTTTTTTAGACAAAACAAATGAATTCCAAGCAATTTTACAAAACAAAGTTCCTGCTGGACAGCTAGCTACCCAAAGCAACGAAACACCAGGACTTACAAGCATCTGCAGCTTACTTTGTTTTGATTAGTCACCATTTAATAAATCAATAAACATTTTAATGGAGGCAAACTGCTGCAGTGGCTGTGGCTCCTTCTTTTATGTGCCTGTTTGCTATCATTAGAACATGAATTAGCATAATGGGGCTCCCTTGTCAAAAGTTTTCTCATAGTTCTTTGTGGTAGGTGTTTTCAAACCCATTTTCAAGAAAACCAGTGTCAATATCAGGGAAAACAAGTGCCTTCAGCTATCTGACGATGTATGAATCTGAGAGCGCCACTGTTCATAAATTGCCCTTGTGGATTTACATCCACACCCACATTGTCTTATATCTAATTAAGATCCTGAATCACTAATATTTTTAAAGACATTTGGCCTTACTGGAGTTGGAATTCCTCCAAATGTTTGCTGAAAGCTTCATATTGTATTTTGCATTATAGATTTTTATTCAAAAGCAGAGGTAAATCACAAAGGAATACAGGAACTGAGTTACTATATTGTTAGCAGCACTTCCAAAGAAATCAAGGCTGAGAGGATTGTAGGGTTACTTCACCTGTTTGTCAGTCTGCCTCAATAACTTTTTAATGTGATGGTTAAGGGCAAGAAAATTTGGTTGCATGTGGGGAGGATGCATAGTTCTCTCACATACAAAATTCCTAGAAATTTAATGAAGGGGAACAAAGTTAACTAGGCAGAAGGAAATCAGTGTCTCTAAGAAAAGGCACTACTCTGACCTAAGCTGTTCTACTAGATCCACATGGAAGACCCCAAAAAACCACATTCATTTCTAAAAGTTAGGAACTAACATCTCTAGGGTTGAGCAATTTTTGAGAAAAAAAAAAAAAACAGGAAAGACGGAACCTACCAG